AGATCAAAAATAGTATATGTATGTACATTCCAGACTCTGGTCTGTCATATTTTATTCTCTGACGACTTTAAGCTCCGTCGCCTCCATCCGATCCATCGTAAACGAAAACTTGATTGAAGAACCGTGTACACACTAAGAGTTTTGGCAAACCTACTTCAACGTCGTTTTTTTAACCAAATCCTACAAACCCAGTCAGATTATGACAATTCGGTTATTCCTCTCGTCATGTTTCGCTGAATTGACGCTGTTGTCGACCGACACAATGTTTCATATTTCATACTTGTTTCATATTTTTGTGTTTTCCAAATGGAGTTATACATTCACATTATGGAATCGAGTTTGGGGCAAACATACTTGAAATGTTGTCCTTGTCCCGGATCCTGTGAGACCAGTCAAGAAAACGTTCTGACCATCCTTAGCTGAAGTAGCCGCTGTTCTCTGATCGATACTTAGTTCTATCACTACCTAGTTCTATATGTACTTATGAATACACTACGTCCTACGACAGTAACGCTTCGCATTGAAGCTTCTGACAGTATATATACAGCTAGAAAAGACCAACCCCTACTCCTACAATTTGGGACTGAAATGTCGCGGATTTCCCAGGATTTCCCAAATCAGCATCAACCTTCCTGAAACAAGGATAACATTCTTAGCAGGTTATGCTAAGTTCGAAGAAAGTTTATGGTTGCCCGTGAGGCCTCGATTTAATTGGGAGTTTCCGCCGGAAAGTTCCGGGAATTTTACGGTGGCTGGGAAATACATTTCCCCAACGACCATAGCTTTTAAAAAAAAGAACAACTTTTAGAGAGAGAGGCAGCAAGAGGGAGTTAGGAGTATGAAAAGAAGAAGTCATAACTGTCATACATATGTGTTATACTAATAATTTATCATCTCACATATTTTTAATATTTTAAAAACGTCCAATGAACGCATTATAATGACTCTGTTGATGAGCTAGATACTTGTTATTTCACCCATTTTGTTTTGAATTTTGTTTTTTGTTCAAAAAAGTTCGAAACATATGATACATCTTTTTTAATTTTATTTTCCTATGTAAATACATGAACACAAAATGCATTTTTATTTTGAAAAAAAGAAAAGTAGTAAAAACGTATGTGATAGTCTCTACATACCACTGCAGAGTGCAGGAGTGCAGCCTGTGCGGTGACTGGGGCTGAATAATCGATGACTGATGATTAATAGGTGAGTGATTTTGGGGAGTTGTACATATTTCTTTTCTTTTTTTCTCTCTGGTCGATTCTGTTGTTGTGCTGAATATATTAAAAATGGACAATGGCAGACTCATCAGACATCACTGTAGCACGTAACTAAATATCACTAAGGTACCCAAATAAGATAGTAGATATGGGGGAAGAGATCGCAACTTGTCCTGCTACCGGTAAATCTGCCGAGCGCAACGCACATGAAAATGCCCCTGAGACAGGAGGCGCAGAAACAACCAGTGCAAGCTCAGAGATAGCAATCAGGAAATTCACGCTACAAGAACTCTCGAAGTGTGACGGTAAGCACCAATGCCAATATTCTTTGTTTGCTATTTCCGAAGATTTTTTTCCATGCCAGTGACACATTTGTCAAGAGTGTGTTTATATATATTGATTTCTACACAAATACATCTAACGCTTCCTCGCCTGCATAGACATACACATAGTATATGGATGTATACGTGTACAAAATATGTATATATGAACAATAGAAGAATGCTTGTATAAACAAAAGTATACTTATATCAAAAATGTGTTCACGTGCTATACAGGAGCGCGCACGCACACACACACCTACACACACACCCACACACACACACACACACACACACACACACACCT